AGACAGACAGACAGACAGACAGACAGACAGACAGACAGACAGACAGACAGACAGAAGAGTCAGAGTCAGAGTCAGAGTCAGAGACAGAGACAGAGAGACAGAGGGGAGGGGTCTGAGTTTCAAGTTCGACAAAATCTTCGTAGCACCAAACACAAACACACCAAGACGGGAGAGCCTATGAGTTTGGGTTTGAGTAAAGAGAAGCACGTCGTCACAATAACGGCCATACAGTGCAGGGAAGCAGCAAAACGGACAGACACAGCAGAGGGAAAGAAAAAAATCATACAGAACATGCTACAGATGTCGTTACAAACGGCATTCAATCGTACTCTGGTGCGGATACAAATTGCCCGCGAGTCGCGAGTGCTGCCTTAGTATGCAATATAAGCAAATCATTAAATTAAATGTATTATTTGTTCGTGCGTTTAAAAGACATGACATGATGCATAATTATGCAATTGTATATCTATTAACTTCGTTCGTACTGAGCAATATTATGTAGAGAGTATTCATAGTCAGTATGCATAACAATATGTGCATGTATATATTGTTTCATATTAAACAATATTATATGAGTAATACAAACTGTTATGTTATTCAGCGTAGTACATCATGTATGTGTTACACAGAAGCAGGAAGGAGGAGGTCAACATCCATTGACCTTGTGTATAATACATAAGACGGAAACGCAGCTCGTAATAATATTAGGATAGAATGTACAATGATAATAGGAAGTGAGTGCGCTTCACAGTGCCCTGAGGCACGTACCCTCCTGGCTTGGTAGGCACCCCTTCTCCTGGGACTCCGTCCTCTTCAGGCTTGTCCTCTTGAATTGCGCGATGTTGCCCATGTGACTCTGGTGTTGGCGCTCGTCGGCGATAGCTATGCGGAGGTGGGAGGTTGGAGGGTGATTTTTTTAAAGAAACGTATTTATTTTTAATTTATTTATTCATTTATTTATTTATTCATTCATTCATTCATTAACCTTACACGGTGTATTACGGTATTTTTGTGTGAGTGTAGTTGTTATTACACCCTAATTCATCAAGGGTCAGTTGCTTTTTTTCGGGTGTTCCACTGACGTGACTAAAAGCCACCAAATATGGACTAGTGTGCACGTGCATAACAAATTAAACATGTGTACGTTATACACAAAATGTGGTGGGTGTCAAGCATGTCACAGCATACCCTTTTCGTTAATTCGTTTTGTTTAATAAGTGTTCCTTTCTTTAGTAAGAGTTTTTTACGGCGTTCGCAACTGCATAAGGTCATAAGAGTTTTACAGCACTTGCAGTACAATTACGTCATATAAAAGCAGAAGATATTATGCTATAAGAGAGTTACAAACAAACAAAAAAGGAGAAGAAGAGATAAGGAAGACAGATGTTCGATAGGAAAGAAGGAGCAAACCATACTAGAGAACCCACGAACAAGTCGCTTGTCGTTTATTCGCTTTGAGACAGTCATAATAATACATAATATATATATATACCCCAACACTAATGTATACGTACAACACTATTATAAAACATTACTCTCCTTCTTTTATGCTTTTGTTTTGATACTTTCGAACTGTCAGAGAATCCAAACTTAATCTAAAAAAACAACGGGTTCTCATTAGCCCTATACATTATGACAACCCTACACCTTTACACTGTGGAAGTAATCGTTTAGCCCACTTATTGTGGTTTAGCTTTCGGTCTTGGTTTAGTTCTGCATACATCTCTCTTTCAACAGAGATTGGGAATTCAAGAGGCATCATTCACGTCTAAATGTCTGTGTACAAAAAGACTTGAAAGCGTTCCAGAGAGGTTTGGAATTCCATGGAGAAACATTCTATTGGATTCTAATAGTAGCGGCCAAATAAATGTTGAGCCTACAGAATACGAAAAGAGTGTCAAAATCACTACAATAAGTCTATTTTAAGTCTATTGTACGACCTACTTCCTCCACGTTCCAAAATGGCACCCGTAGGACCTAATTAAGTTGAAAGGGCTGTAAAACTCTTACTAAAGCTTATTTTTAAAAATCAAATAACCCAAAACACCGACTTAAGACTAAGAGATGGCAAAAGGAATGTGACAATATTGTGATAGAATACAGAGCATGATGTACAAAAGAAACAGAACGTAAGATTTACTAACCTTAGACCATCATCTTAAAGAGCTTATAATAACAATTATACGAAAAAAAAAATCCAAAAAATAAATATGTTCTAAACAGCACATAGCTAACTAAACTACTTAGAGTCGGTCAATAATGAGCATGCAACTGTAAATGAGCGTAAAACTATGTCTACATAAATGTATTCTACGTAATGCAAAGGAGTCAGCTATAACGCTGTATTGCACAGAGGATTTTCAAACAACATGCAAAACAACTATCAGTACGTCATTTAAGTTTGTTTTCAACATTTCGGTAAAATACATGTACCGTTTACCCTACACAGACGGACAGACAGACAAACAGACAGACAGACAGACAGACAGACAGACAGACAGACAGACAGACAGACAGACAAACAGACAAACAGACAGACAGACAGAAATAATACAGAATCTGAGAGGCGCCTGTGTACCATATTAATATCAATATGGGAGATGACAACAGCTGATAATGCGGTACACCTGCTAGTAATAGTATATATGTGCAGCTGGCTAAGTCCCATGTTGTACACACGAGTGTGTAAGTGACAGAAGAGCACATCCACGCACTCACTCACCCTACACACCACAACGATCTGACACACCGACCTCTCACAAGCCGAATGCCTGACTAATCACATCACACATAGCGCACAACATAAAGTGACAAATCATTGACTCCAAATCAAGTAACCAAGGACACATCCTCTCTCTCTCTCTCTCTCTCTCTCTCTCTCTCTCTCTCTCTCTCTCTCTCTCTCTCTCTCTCTCTCTCTCTCTCTCTCACTCACTCTCTCTCTCTCTCTCTCTCTCTCTCTCTTTCTCTCTATCTATCTCTCTCTCCAAAAAAACCCACCCCAAACCAACAAGGACATTCGATACGATCATGTAACTTACACTGTGATAAACTTAGCCTCTTTACATATCATTATCAGATTACTAACACTACTACTCGTCGACACATTAGGAATGCGACATATTTTTAGATAGGTCTAGATCTTAAAACCTGGCACAAAAAACTTTTCTGACACAAAACTGACCAAATGAAAATAATTTTTAAATCCCACAGTTTCTATTCAACACACTTTTTTTTTTTAACCCACATTTTTTTGTTTTGTTAATTGGCTTTTTTCAAACGTGGGCTATTCCACAGTAACTGACGTGACATTTGGACTATACTTTTTTACAATAAGAACACTGTGATTCATTATCAATTAATTTCCTTTCATCTTTAAATGACCAGATTAACCCTATCCGTACGTCGTGTTTTACTATCGTATCCATACGACATGGGGAACTCTGTGCCACCTCTTTCCAAAGAGGAAATTTAATCGTTAATCCGATCCGTACGCTTTGCATAGCAGTCTGTCAACATGATTTCTTGAGAAATACTGAAAAAAGTTTCAAAGAGATCTTTGCTCTTGAAGTATTCTAAAATGTAAAGAATACATCTCCGGGGGGTACAAAATGACCCCAGGGCGTACGGATAGGGTTAGGAATCGTATTGAATGCAGTCATTTGAAAGAAAATGGCTTTATGCAAATTCTGTGACGTGTTTACTTTCGGTAATGGACTGGATGGGGTATTGCTTTATCTGTCCTGTCTGTTACCGAGGAATAGCCTACCTGATAACGCATCGATATCAAAAATATTTTTACTTTTCTTTTTACATTTCACCCATTCTTGACCCCGTCAACACATTTTACAGGCAGTAAAAAAAAAGTGTAAAAGAAATGATAACAAAATTATTGCAATGTTTAGTTTGCACTTCGTTTATGATTTCTACCAAAAAGGCAAACCTCCCAACTATAATGAGAATATGAGCGTTGGAGTGGGGGGGGGGGTGTAACGCTCCTATCAACATTATTAGGTTATTTTAGAAGTTACGTCCGTCTGAAGCAGATCTGAGCTGCATGGTGTGAGAGCCTTGAAAACTCAACAAAACGAGTTCAAGAACACCCAGTCTGGCGTTCGAACCCAGGCCATCCACTCCGTAGTCCAGCATGATACCAGGTGAGCTAACGGACGGCCCAACTTCCAAGAGACTTAATTCATATTTTGTTAAAGACATAATAAATAGCATTAGAGAAAGGGTGCACCAGCAGATTTAGCCTTTTTCGTATTTTGAGAGCAAGCCACATAAAATATGCTGCCTAGTAGTAGCGCGTGTATAAGAAAACAATAGGAGGAAGACTGTAAATGAGTGCTGATCAATTTCAAGCTACGTCGCAAAGTAAAAGAAACGCAAAACATAATACAATAGAGGAGGAGGACTCACATTTTTATGAAGCAAAAGCGGGCGTTAGTGTATTCGAACTTTGCACAGGCAAAACAATGTTTTAGCAGGATATTATAATAAATGACACACAAAACCGAGATTTTTGTCCCTCCCTCCAACCACAGAAACAGGCTTATGCCATGATATTCATACAAATATTATGATTCCTCCGTAAGCGTTCATGTATCCAACACATCCCACAAACATTCCATAAAACAATATACGGACAAAGTGCTTGAGCGAATTTTTAAAAGTCAGGATTGTCTACAACTTATGCCCTTTTACTCACACCTGCCTTAACCGCCCACCTTTGATCTGAAATAAATCAACGAACTTCATATGGTTTTTAATAGATCTATTAGTTTGTTTGCTTGTCTGTCTGATGGACGAGGACATCAACACAATAAGAGCCATTTAGAGAAGGGAAAGAGTAAGAAAATAAGTAAGTCATAGAAAAGCAGAGAATAAAATGTTACAAATGTCACCTAGCCAGCCAGCCTTGAGAGCCTATAACACCAAGTACTCAGGCTATAACGGAAAAGGTAAACCATGCAAGAATAGGTTTCCCTAAGAAATTATAATTCCCTAATTGAAAAACCTGCAGAGCTGGCTTACCATAGAAAACTTTATCTCCCCTCAAATCTTACCGGCAATAGAGTATGAAAAAGTAAAGTAAGTAAAGTAAAGAATAAGAGAGACAGACAGTCAGAAACAACAGATAGAAAAAAAACTGTATTTCCCCTCGACGCTTACCGGCAATAGAGGATGAACAAGTAAAGTAAGTAGAGTAAAAAGTAAGAGAGACAGAGTCAGAAACAACAGATTGAAAGAATATAAGTACATGACGCAATACATATTAGTTGCGCGCCCTCAAGCCACGCGCGTAACAGGCCATCTTTTCGGCTGTACCCCAAGTCTGCAGAACTGAAAATTCTCAAGTACTTACTTGAAAAAAAAAAAAACCTTTCATTTTCTAGTACTTTCAGCAAATCAGCACATAGCTCAATAAACAGTGTAATAAATACGTATAGCGTACACAATGAATACATACGTGCAAATATATCATGCAAAAAGTACGCAAGCAAAAGTGTGCAGGATATTATGAAAGGTACACATAATATAAGCGAATCTACATGTATGTACAAAGGTATGATTTTGTCGTCAGCGTCACTCTTCAACCGCCTAAACCCATTTCTGTGTGTTTCCAGAAAGGGTCGTTACTCCAATGAGCACACCAGGGTAAATCTCACAATAATACAATAGTTTCGATATTTCCTTCCAAGGACATAAACAAAATATAAGAAGTGTCCAAGCCATGCATAGTTCTGATTTAAGCTCTCTTTTTCTCATTAGTCGTATAAGTAAGCTGAGTGTCTGGGTACAGTGCCAATATCTATCAACACTATTAGGTTATCTAAGAGGCAGGACATCCGAATGTAACATCCGCCTCCAATAGGACA